TCGATCGGCGATCACTGAAACGCAGCTAGCAACTGTATACTCGAAAAAGCAATGTTGCCACTTTTTATCTTTAAACCATGTTCGAATCGTGGAAATTTTGGAAGATCACAGGGTTGCTTTTAGCATTTAGATTCTTAATGCAAAAATGGAGTTGCATTTAGCTGCATTTAGGTGACGAATTTTGTATGGATAAATGTACATTTAGAGTAGCATTTAGAGCTAAATGCTCTAAATGTGCTTTTACGCATAAGCAAAAACAGGCCATAACACTACGTTTATGCGTAGGCAAAATCCCGAAATCATTTCAAGAATTTGGGCTCAAATTGGCTGCATAAACACTGTTTCATGAATTTACTTATACATACGGTGACCATCCGTTCTGTTTTTTGCAGGACCGTACTGTTATTTAAAGGTCTGTCCTGCGTAGTTTTTCAAATCAGAAAACCCCCAAAATGTACTGATTTTTTTCAAGTGTCCTGCCTTCGATATTTATAAATAACTTTTCCTTATCGAAATAAAAGCAGTGTCGATAACTAATTGATAACTACATAAGGGTAAGCTGGTTTTGAAGGTTCAACTAGTCAATGCGTTATAAATATTGTACGGTTATGGACAATGGATGACGTGAAATTGAAGACCAGCATCAAATATATCGATAAACCTGTTCTAAAAATTTTGTGGTAATCGCTTAAGAAAAAAAATATTTTCCATGCCAATTTTCCTTTCAAACATGCGCTTTCGTAATTTTTTTGAAAAACGTGTTTTTGGTACATTTCGAACCTATTCGTCAATATCTCATGAAAAAATTATCCAATCAACATAAGTGACCTACAGTCCTCTTACAAAAATATATTACTTTGCCGATTTCGATGAAAATTGTTAGTGTTACAAGCGATCAAAATCGAAAAATTTAAATTTCAATCATTTTCCTTTTACAGTAAATGAAAATCTGATGAGAAATGTAGATGTTACGGAACATAATCTGCGCAAAAAATATATATTTTTGCAAGGAGCCCATCAATACCTTTCGAACTGTTGGTCGTTTCATGAGATATTGAGAATAACTGAAAAAGTACTAAAAATACGTTTTTCGAACAAATCTCGAAAACACTTCTTTGAAACCATGGGTATTTTTTTCGTGTTCAACGACCCAAATTACTAAAAGATTAATACCAATGAAGCAAATGTGATTTATGTTTAAAGTTTAAAATTGGATTAATAATTAAGAAATATACACTCTTCGTTATTTGAATAGCGCATCCTTTTAATACTTAGTAGGTACAGTTTTCCTTTTGTTTGTTTAATATTCATTAACTTTTCATAAAAATATAGCATATTCTACGTCTACATCCCATTAAATTTTTTTTTGAAAATTAAAAAAATAAGCATAGGGGCGACATTTTTTTTTGACTGTGCTGCGCATTTTCTTCCATATAAAAATTTTGTCAAGCATACTTTGTATGGTAGAAAATAAAAAAAAGGGTGCGCTATTCAAATGACGAGAAATGTATGTATGTAGTATAGTTTTGTTATTTTTATACTGCGCAATTATATGTAGGTAAATTTTTTGAAAAATTGTCCTGCATTTTCAAAATATATTTATGGTCACTGTACTTATACACGAAAATTAACCATTAGTTTGGGCAGCATTTCATGAAAACGTGAAGTGGAAGTCCGGCAAGGCCAAGTTCAATAAACAGCTGTTTACTAGGGGTATGAAGTTTTTAGATCAAAAGCATCCCTACAAGAATTGTGTGATGGAAACTAACACATTCTCATTAATCTTACTAACACAGTCGCAAATATTTGCAACGTTTTCGCGTTGGTTAAAATGAGACCACAAGGCTCTCATTGTTACAGTGCGTGAATGCATATGTAAGAGTGAAACAAATTATATGTATACATTCACCTCCCCAGAGTTGCATTTGTTGACGCGTCAAGAAAAAGAAAACAAATATTAAAGCATTTTCAAGTGAAAAACAGCGCGCGTGGTTTCAAGCGGAATACAGAAAAATTTTAAATCTAAAAATAAGCACACAGTAGCGGAATTTTAAAAGATAATTAATAATAATAAATAAAAATAAGTATTAATACAATGAAAAAAAGGCATCTGCAAAATTGCCTGTCAAAAGAAAAAAAAAGTTTTTGAGTCAAATGTAAGAAAATATAAAGATTTGATAAAAGTGGAACGTGCAGGTGGTGTTAGTGGTTCCATGTGTTTAGAAAATGTAGCGTCCACGTATGCTGGTGGATTGATTTCTTTCGCTAGTGAAAATGATGCAGTTTCTTTAGAAAATGTAGCATCTACTTCTGCGGGTGGGTGCATTACTTTCCCTGCTGTTAGTGGAAACTTACCGGTAGCATCAAAATTTTCAGAGCACTCTTGTCCAAGTGAGCTTGAAAGGGGTGAATTTTCCGAAACAGATAGTGTAGATTCTGAGGCAGCGGCCGATTCCTACTCTGTCACAAATGTTGAAAGCAACGAAAAATGTGAGGAGTTAAAGTCATGGGCAGTTAGGAACAACATTTCACAAAGTGCGTTAGAGGACTTATTGCATACGTTGAGAAAGGTAGGAGTGAAAGATTTACCTTTATCGGCCAAAACTCTTTTCTGTACGAGTAAGGAAAAAATGCAAATTTTAAACATTCCCAGTGGGGAATTTTTATATTTAGGTATCCAAAAATATTTTCTTTCATCGTCTTTCGAATTTTTAGATGGAAAAGAAGAAGTTTCAATCGATGTAGGTGTAGATGGTTTAAAAGTGTTTAAAAGTTCAAACAGAGTCTTGTGGCCTATTCTTGGTGCAATTGTTGGATTTCCTTGTACTAGTCCTTTCATGGTCGGCTGTTTTTCCGGTTTTAAGAAACCTGAGAATATAGATAACTTTATGGCAAACTTTTGTGAAGAAATAAAATTACTTCAAGAAAATTGCATCAAAGTGGGGTTTAACCAAAATATATTCCGGTTCAATGTTCGTCTCTTTGTTTGTGACTCTCCAGCCAGGGCATATGTGACAGGTATTCGTTTCTCATAATGCAAAAAATGGTTGTCCGAAATGCGATCAGAGGGGTTTATATAAAAATAATAGGGTGTGTTTTTTGAAATAAGTTGGATGTTTAAGGTCAGACATCACATTTAAACTAAGACACGATCCTTCTCATCATGTAGACCAATTTAAAACGAAAATGAGTATGTTGGAGGAATCAGGTTTTGGAATGGTTTCACAATTTCCTTTGGATAGCATGCATTTGGTTGATCTGGAGATCACTAAAAAATTGCTTAAACTTTTAATCAATAAATCGAATGTAAATAACCTTAATAAGAAACTTAGTTTTGTCGCGGAGTTTGTTCCATCAGAATTTTGTCGAGTACCTAGAACTTTGGAAGATATATATATTTGGAAATCTACTGAGTTTAGACAATTTTTGCTATATACGGGTATTTTCTTCTTCTTATTATTGCATAGTGGTATAAGACCTCTGTGCAAAGAGGGATCGCTTCAAAGAAAGACAGATATTTCACAAAAAGTATTGGAAGATTTTGTAAATTTTTTGGCACATTATATGGTGACGAGCTAGTTAGCTTTAATGTCCATGGACTTCTCCATTTAACGGATTGTGTCAAACAATTTGGCCCACTGGATTCTTTTTCTGCCTACAAATTTGAAAATTATATGCAGCATATTAAAAAAATGATCAAGAAGCCTAACAAAATTTTGCAGCAGATATTTCTTAGGCTCCAAGAAAGACTAAGTCTTACGTCAGTTTTGAAGGGTTCTCCTAAATAAGGGTGCTTCAGTATTGACCATAAGAAAGGGAAAGACAGTTTTGGTTTCAGTAAAAAAACAGGACCCATGAAAGTAATTGCCCAAATGAATTCTGAAAATTATGTGTGCAAAAATTTCAAAGTTACTGAAAACTACTTCGAGCAACCTTTACAGTCATTTAGGGCCATTTGCACCATGTCTAGTTAACGCTAACTGGACGTACATCCTTCAGTTAAGCACGTTAACTGCTTTATCGATCACATGTTATATGATGGGTGTCGATAACTTCGATAAAGATGTTTAACTGGGAGTTAGAATTAACTAGACATGGTGCAAACGGCCCTTAGTGGTCTAGGTATAGTTGTTGCCAATGATTTGAGTAGTCAAATCACAGTAGTTACGATGTCAGAGATTGAGTTTAAATACTTTTCTATACCTATTCTATACTAATTCATAACTCCTTCCAAGAGGAACTCAGAAAGACTCCGTGAACTCAGCCGGGAGGGTCTTAGGACTATTACAGGCTACCTGACAGGACACTGCAAGTTAAGGTACCATCTAAACAAAATGGGGCTTTCTGTAGAGACGGACTGCAGGTTCTGTGGGCTGGCGGAGGAAACCTCGGAGCACATTCTGTGTGACTGCCCGCGTATCATGAATAGCAGACTGATGCACCTTGGGGAACGATTGTCTTCTCCATCCAAGATTTGGAACACGGCACCCTCCAATGTGCTTAATTTCTTGAATAGCCTCAGGTTGGAGTGACTACAATCAGGGTTTAGCACAATAGATCTTTTAGGTCGCAGCGCGAGTATACCCGACGTACTAATAATAATAATAATACCGATTGGTGACAAGTTTCTTCTCATACCCCTGCTACACCATCTATTTAACGAGTTTTCACTCTAACCTGCACATTTCATTTTTTGTTGATCATAAACACAACATACCATTGCATAATAAAATTTAATAATAATTAAATTATTATTCTTAATACATAAATCGCACTCAAGAGGAAAACGGCAAGCAAACAAAGTATTAAAAAAAAACGAAAATATATTTCCTAACTTATATTTTTTAGATATTTTGCCAAGAATTAGCTATGACGCCGTACATGACCGTATTCCCGAGTCCTCGGGGCAAAACGGTAACGAAAACTTATATATTTAATCATAATTTTATTTATAATACATGCATATATTTCATTAACTTTTTGTTTTTTTTTCAAGATATTCTGAAGACAATGAGGGAGCTCGTCCACGCCCAAAGGGAGACAAATACCCGACTGGCGAAAGTTGAGGAAAATGTAGGTTATTCTTCTTTTGGTAAATTTTTTCCTCAAACCAACAATTTTTTCTTCTCGCATATTAGCAATCCATACTAAGCCAGGGGATGGACGTACTTGTAGGCAATCAAGAGAGGATCGCTAGTGCGTTTGAGGAAATGGATAAAGACCCACAAACTTTGGCGCTAGCTAAGGGCATGAGGGAGTGCAAAGTGGCCTTAAAAAAAATTCAGTATGACGTTTGTCGCATGACTGGGGAAGTTGCAAACTCCAAAATGGACGAAGTAGCTAGCATGATCCCCTTGCATACTACCACAGCAGTGCTAGAAGTGGAACAAAGATTGCAGTCACCAGACTTTGTTCAGACAATGGTAACAAACAAACCTAATACTTTATTGTTTACAAGATTGTATTTTAATTTTTCATAGACGATATACTTGCACAAGATTAAGGGGGCATCAGAGGATGTCAGCAGCGTAATCCGCACCATCATTACAGATGACCTTCTTGAAAAATACAACTGGGAGGGAACGTGGGAGAAACAGGCGCTGAGCGAACTATCTTTTGTGAATAAGACTCTGCGCGATATACATTTTATTCTAAAAAAACATGTACGCCTTTGTATTTAAATTTTAGATGTTTTCTCAGCACAAGGCGCTTTAGAATTTGAAAAGAGCTTACGCAAAGCAGTGGTACGTGCCCATCATCGGCTTCAGCAAAAAAAGTACTTTCGAAAAGGCAAAACAACGATTACAGCTGCTACAACAACTACCAGAACCGCAACCTCTACCTCAACATCTATCCTAACCTCTACTTCAACTTCTAATTCAAGCTGTAGATGATTTTAATTATAATTCCTAATTTTTAATTTCCTATTAATAATTACCCTTGTGGTCAGCTGATTAAGTCAAGTGACATTTTGACTAGTTTTTGCTATTTTTCTTTTATTTATATTTTTTGTATAAAAGTTTCGCACTTTACCTAACCAGCGCCACATAAATCCACATTTGACACTTCCTTTAAAAATTATGAAAATTTAGTAAACTAACATTTGCAACCGAAAATTTTAAACTCTTTATTGAGAATTTTTAGATTAGTTTTGGGTATGCAGTTTTAGTGGGTTAAAGTGCAAATTTCAAGACGCAAGAAAATCGCGTTGATTTTTAATAATTCTTTTTGCTAATGTTGCTAGGCATTTTCTCCCATACAAAAAACACCGTCAGCCAAAAAAATTCAACGCGATTTTCTAGCGTCTTGTAATTTGCACCATAGCGTACTAAAATTTAATGAGCTACCAAACTGCATACCCAAAACTTATCTAAAAATTCTCAATAAAAAGTTGAAAATTTTCGGTTGCAAATGTTAAAGTTTCTTGAATTTTCATAATTTTTATAGGAAGTTTCAGATGTGGATTTATGTGGCGCTGGTTAGGTAAAGTGCGAAACTTTTATACAAAAAATATATCAAAAGAAAAAGAGCAAAAACTAGTCAAAATCTCGCTTGACTCAATCACCTGACCCATCCCTATGCAAAGGATTCCTAATTTTTAATTTCCTATTAGTTTAATATATCTCCTTATGCAATGGCGCAAAACTTTTGATTTATTTAATTATATTTTTCGTAGTTTCATAAGTGCAACTAATAATAAATGTAGTACATTTTTTTAATGTAAAAAATTATAAAACACGCTTTTTTACATATACATCAAGTGTTATTGATCAATTGTGATGTGTGTATACATCAAGTATGATAAATCAGTTGTGACAAGCATGCTCATCAAGTATGATTGATCAATTGTGATGTGTATATACATAAAGTATGATAAATCAGCTGTGACAAGCATGCTCATCAAGTGTGATTGATCAATTGTGATGTGTATTTACAATAAGTATGATTGATCAACCGTGATAGATACATGCATCAAGTATGATAAATCAGCTGTGACAGGCATGCTCATCAAGTATGATCGATCAACTTTGATAGGTAGACATCATCGTTGACTAATAAGAATCAGCAGGAGTAAGCAGTACAGCTATATTTTCATTTATACGAAGAATTCCATAAGTTGGAGGAAGACGGAAGATCACATGTACACAACCCTGCAAGAACAGTGACTATCATATGACAAATCATTTGAGTGGCAAGACTGATAGAGATTTCTGTCACTGGCTACCTACAAGTTTCTATCAAATTCTAAAGGGCAGTGTGAAAAATCTGATGTAAACATTTGTGTACATGTGATCTTCCGTCTTCCTCCAACTTATGGCCTTATTTAATGGTCTCTTTTTAACCAACGCAAAGTTTGCAAAAGTGTTAGTAGGATAAATGAGAATCTGTTAGTTTCCATCACACAATCCTTGTAGGGAAATGTTTACATCACGTTTTTCATATTGCTCTTAAAAAGTTGATAGAAGTACTTGATTGAGATCTCCATCACCAGTGAGTATCACATGATCAGTCAAATGACTATCACTGTTCTTGTAGGGATCCCTACATCTGTAGTACAGAGGTGGGCAACCTCGGCAGAGCATTTTTGTAGTGTGCGTGCAATGGATGTCACTGTGTGCCTGTATACGCGAATACGACGCGCAGTCGCCTGCCCAGCTGGCATGTAGTGGCATAACCATGACTTAAAACACTGGAAAAGTTTAGTGAAAATATTAAAGAAATTCAAAGAAATTCTTATGCACTAAAACCAAGTTAAATATAACATTGATCATTTCTTGGTACCACCGCCTTTTGCAAAAAAATGCAAAAATAAAAACACAACCCTACTGTTTACTTTCTCGCTAGTGCGCTGCCACCATTTCAAAACACTTAATTTCATGTATTCGCAAATTACTCATAAACGGAACCATTTTTGAATTCACGAATTCTGCCGCACAAACATAGTAAAGGTGTTCTTACACGATATGTAGTCGCATGTGCATATGCCTCTTTTTACATATGGAAATGCCAACATATCTTGTCAAGTCCAATTAGATATGTTTCTGTACAAAGCAGAAATAACAACAAAGCAGAAATAAAAATAAAAAAATAAATATAGGCTGCGTTTCTTTATTCATTCCGGATAATCCCATTTCACAGCCAGAATAAACAGAATGCGATTGAAATATACGTTAACATATCATCAGGAACGTTCCAAAGAATAAGTAAACAAAAAAGTTTATTCCAAACGTTCAGAATGAATAAAGAAATGCAGCCATAGAATCATCTGGGTTTGATTCATTTCGTTTTCAAAGAACGTATTTTTAAATACTTAAATAAAGACTGTGAATTTGGCAGACAGATGTATTCGCATATGTATCGAAAAAGTCATATTTGCAGATGCAAATACATATCGTGTAAGAACACTTGGAACACATCAAGATAACCAACCGTTCAGCTATGCGAAAACTTAAAATGCAAACCGATAGTACTTTTTACGCTGATTTCAACTATATAAATATTATTTGCCGCCATTAAAAAGTAAAAAAGATATAAGAGGTTAAAAAAAATGTTTGCGATATTTTAAAATATTAACATTTTCTAAACTATGTAACCGATTAAAAAAATAATGATGTCAGAATGAAGACAATCAATCTATCTTTCAAATGATATATAAAATCTGTGTCCTTGTTTATATATTTAAGCCAAAAATATTAAAAAACAAATAAAATGTTATAATTTTTTCACAAAATAACCTTGTTTAAATAAAAGTGCATTTTCCATGCTAAAGATGTATATATTATTTAGAAAGAGCAAGGTCTTAACTTTAATTTGATATACATATTTTATTATGATCTACTTGTGAGGTTTA